GGGGGGGCGGGGGACTGGGGGAGAAAAAAGGTGCTGGGCCGTATTTACCCTAATGCAGAGAATGCATTAAGGTAAAAAACACCCAGACCTTAATACTACTTTAACTTTCAACCTACACTTAACGTTCAGTGCGTTGCGTTGCTCGCTCACTTCTCGATCCTGTCCCTGTAGAGCAGTGGTTCTCAACCTTTATAGTGCCGGGACCCCTTGGTAACATTTGCCAAGTTGTGGTGACCCCCAACCGTAAAATTTAGGGATGCACCAATACTAGAATCTGTGTGGGCTCTCAGGAGGCTATGCGGGCTCTCAGGTAGCTAGTGGGACTCTCTGGTGGTGTCCAGTGCTGCCTCTGTGGTGCCCAGTTGCGGGCTCTGTGGTGATCAAGCACTCACCTCCCCTCACTCCTGCACGCTCCCCTCTCTTTGATCTGCTCTGGCGGCTGCTGATGCCGCGCCATCTAGGAGAACTGACACTGCTGCGCTAGGAGGAGGCTGAGGAGCTTCTTAACTAGAGCAGCACATGGGGACCCCCTCAATTGTGGGTCCCGACCCACTTTTGGGTCCACACCCACAGGTTGAGAACCACTGCTGTAGAGAGCCATGACTGACTCACGGCTCCCTGCAGGGATTCCCCCCCTCCCCGATCCTCCAGCGCTGACTGGAGGAACGGAAGAGGGAGGGGGTGGGTACAGCTGGCTCTCCCTCTAGATAGGCAGAGCCAGCTGTCAGTCACGCAGCTGGGTGGATCTCGATAGTAATGTCGGGATCCGTCCCGGCTGAGGCGGTCTCAGTATACCGCGAGCTGTAGCTCCTTTTTAAGTAGGTCACATTGTATGAACAACTGAGGAACTTAGGAAAGATACATGTATTATGATACAGCACCTGACAGTGAAACTGAGCACTTCACAGAGACGGGAAGATTATGAGGGACTCTGTTCTGTGTTTCTGTTCGGGGTGGATTCTTAAAACAGACAGAAAAGAATGAAATTGTGGTAAATGTCAGCAATGCATCATATTCCAGCTCTGTGTTCTAGTACAGGCCAGAAAAGAAACTGATATAGGCAACATGGGCATTTTACTCTCTTTGTTTAATCAGTCAACATTTTATTCTCTTACAGTTTTATTATTCAGCTCCATCATTTCAGAGTTCTCTACAAATCATCAATCATCACAAACACATCAGTAATGCTGTGAAACTCAAGGCTGGGCAGCTCTCCCCCCAGAATGTAAAATTGCAGTATACATACCTTTTTTCAGGCATCTTTTGGGGGGCCACATGGTGAGCAGAGTCGTCTTCCGGCTTCCCCTCTTCTTTAGGGTTAGGCAGTCCTCTCTGGCATAGAGAATGGCGCTGAAAATGTGACATGAGCGCCATTCTCTGCGGTATTTTGTCTTGTGGGTCCAGGCTACATGATGCCCCCCCTCAGGGGATGCGTCATTGATGACCTGAGCTCATAGGAAGCAGGTTAAATGACCCCTGGATGTGGATTGAGGGCTGGCTGTGCCAAGCAGAGGAGGGTTTTGAGGGCAGAACTGGGGCATGGAGAGTGAGTAGTGTTGACATTTTTGTTTTTGTTTAGCGAGGGGAGGCATTTAAAGAGAAATCATGCCTGAATATGGGCTTTATGTGCCCAACATTTGCAATGAGTTGCATTAGGAACTCCATATTCTGGGGTCCTGAGATCAGTTTGAAGTAAAAGTTTAAAATGCCTGCCAATGGCTGGTGTTCAACAAATTTTCATTTGCAATTGGAAATAAAAGACTTGCAATAAAAGACACAATTTAAAGGAGAAATCTGGCAAAACACAAAGCTTAAAAGAGAACTATGGGGTAAGTGTTTTTCCCCATAGTTCTCTTAAGGGTCACTGGAGGACATGCTGTATACTAGTCTCCTCCCATGACTCAAAGCTCAGTATATTGCAAGAAGTGAGCGAGCGACGGTATGTGTTCACTCACTTTCCGATCTATAGAACCGACGTGTGACAGTTTCATTGTCACACATCGGCTCGAACTATGAGGATGCGTGATTTTCACTCACCTCATAGTTCTCCTTTAACTGCCTCCGGGCCGGCCGGCCGGCCGGGAGCTCTCTAGATCTGAGCGGGCGTCTTTAGACGTCCGCCCAGACACGCCCCCTCGCGCGGGAAATGGTCGTTATTTAAAAACAGGCAGCGATGCCTGTTACCATACAAGCGATCGCATGTATGGGGCGCCCATCGGTCCCCCCCCCTCCGCAACCCCCCCCCTGCCGTTGTCCCGCTGATCCCGGGCTTCGCTGTGCCCGGTGCGAGCCCGGGATCAGCAGGTCGCCTGTGTCACAGAAGATCAGAGGGAGATCGTTACACGAGCTCCCTCCGGTCCCCTCTCCTCTGCAAGAATGCGGACGTGTTGTATAATACATCACTTCCGCATTCTTGTGTCACTCTCCAGCTTCAGAAGCTGGAAAGAAGCTGATGGAGCAGATCTCTGCTTCATCAGCTTCTTTTGGGGGGTCCTAGGTGACATTAGGGGTCTTGGAGACCCCTGATGTCTCCATAAAGAGGACCTGTCACATATTTTGCTATTACATAGGGGGAGTTTAATTAGCCCCTGTATGTGATAGCAATAAAGTTTAGTGAAAAAGGAAAAATGTAAGTCCCCCCCCAAAAAAATTTAAACTTACACATAAAAAAGAATAAAAAAAACTAAATTTTGTTTTAAACATGCGTCGGGGGCGCATATGTGCAAAAAAGACGATTGCGCCCATTACGCTGCACATGTTACATATCGCCGCGAACATCGGAGTGAGAGCAATAAGTCTAGGGCCATCAATCATTGAAAACACTAAACTGATGAGCGGTAAAAGCTTTTAAAGTGTCGCCTATGGCCAATTTTGGGTATGGTAGTTTTCTGCGATGTAGTGGGTGCGCGCAATTTTAACATGTTTGACATGTTTGGTGTCTATTTACCCGACGTGACCCCGTCTTTTATATTTTACCAGAAAACTGGGTAATAATAAATGTTTCCTAACATAATGTAAAAAAACAAAATTTCTGTAATTTTTCCTAATTATAGTAAAAAATAAAACCCCCAGTGGTGATTAAATACCACCAAAAGAAAGCTCTATCTGTCCCCAAAAAATTGTATAAAATTAATTTCAGTACAGCGTTGCATGACGGAATAAATGTCAGTCAAAGTACCGCAGCGCTGAACACTGAAAAATGGCCTGGACAGGAAGGGGGTCTAAACACCTGGTCTTCAAGTGGTTAAAGAGTTTTTATCAAACTGCTTTTTGTTATTGGATGTTTCTGAGGAATTAACACTGCTTACTAGTTTCATAGGTCTATAAGCAAATGAAGCCTGCTTTTGTGACAGAATCCTTACCCGTTCCTTTTCTATGATTAGAGTATATTGTTCTCCGATCCTGTGTATGGTATATGCAGGCGGGTACAATTATAATGAAATCGCAAGTGCAGATTATTTGATATCATGAAAACATCCCTGTGATTTTTATCCTTGAAGGATGTTTTGCTGTTATGGGTGTATTTCGTCTTTACCTTTATCAGATACTCTGTTATCGGTTGTTTGGCTAGTTAGTGTCATGATTATTTTTTGTTTGTGTTTCAGAATTACTTTAGAACGCAATCCAATGGCTATCCTAGATAATGATGTACTCTTAGACATTTTGCAAGATCCAGAAGATATCCCGGAGAAAGTCTGCTCCCCTCGTGAAGGGAATTGGGAGACGGATTTGACTGAAGCTCTTGTAGAGATCAGTGAGAAGATCCTTGATGATGATCAGAAGTCAATAGAGCTGCTGATAGGGACAGGATGGGAAGAAGTGGTAAGTGGATATCGCATCTGCGAGTTACAGTTCAGAAAGCAAAGCCAATTTTGTATGATAGGTTATGTAGGGAGGATATTTGTAACACATTTCCCGTATGGAACACCCAACTGAATCTGGCTTCTCATATATGAAATAGTGTGTTAGTGATTGTGAATGTATAAAGAATAACTGTTGATGTTCAATAGGGCCGATACCATACTCATTCTTCGATACTTACCCCCGATACCGAAACATCCGTTCAGAGGGAGATTTCCTCTGACAGTGCCGTGAGAGAACATGGAGCTGGCTTCCTGGCCAATCAGGAAGCCGGGAGGCGGGTAATGACTCGTGGGTAAACATTGTACCTGAACATAACTTACACACACTCCACATTACCCCTTTATGTAATAGCAATGACCTCAAATCCGATGATAAAAGTTTGCTAATGCCGGGACCTACGCCAGACCAGACACTGCTTACCCTTCCAGGAGCTGCTGTTCTGCACACGTCCAGCCTTACACCATTCCCTTCGCTGAAGACCCAGTCTTTCTAAATGCCTGCATGGAGATGGGCTAGCCATTGATGTTGATAGTAAAACGTTGCATATGTACTATATGGGGCTCCCAGAAAAGGCAAGAGGATGTCTGACACTATGTAGACAGGAACACCAGTTGACTGCGCTCATCTGATCTGAGGTCCATGTTATGGGTCGGGTGGTCAAAAGGGAGAAGAATATTAAGCCCCCATTCACACTGAGCGATTTATCGAGCGATTTTTGCAGCGATATCGCTCATATTTCCACACGATATCGCTATATGTAGCTTCTCCAATCCATTTCAATGGAGCTGTTCACATCTCGTCGCTCAATATCGCTTGTAGCTCGTCGCTGGTAGCTTGTCGCTCCTGCATGGCCCTTTTTAGGAAAAAGTCGCGCGACAAGTCGCTCAATATCGCTCGTCGCTCAATATCGCTCAAAATCGCGCGATTTTCATGTCGCTCAGTGTGAATGGGGCCTAATATATAAAATTCACTTCTCCTTTCGTGATAGAAGTCAGAGATGTGTCACCTTCATGGAGATACTATCCAGTTGTTCCGAACTCATTTCTTCCTTTTTGTAAATAAATTCAATCTTTCCAATGAATCCAGGTGTGGATGATACAGGAAGACATGGATGCACCAATACTGATACTAGTATCGGTATCTGTGCCAATGCTGAGCATTTGGGGGGGTACCCAATCCCTAGCCCGATACCTGAGCTTCCGGTATCAGGAATCCAGGCAGCGAGTCATTACCTGCCACCGGCTTTCTGATTGTCCAGAAAGCCTTCTTCATGCTCCCTCGTCACCTGGTGATGAGGGAGCATGGAGCCGGCTTCCCGGCCACTCAGGAAGCCGGGCGCCGTGTAATGACTCGTTGCCTGGCTTCCTGATTAGCCAGCTTCTCGACCAAGCTAGGCAACGAGTCATTACACGGCACCTGGCTTCCTGAGTGGCCGGGAAGCCGGCTCCATGCTCCCTCATCACCAGGTGACGCGGGAGCATGGAGAGGGCTTCCCTGCTTATCAGGAAGGCGGTTGGCAAGTCCTTACACGCTTCCCGGCTAATGAGGAAGCCAGGTGCCGAGTCATTACATCCTGCCTGGCTTCCTTAATGGGACTTCCGGTATAGGCAAGTACCAGAAAAAAAATATCGGTACTCGCTGTCACAAACATGAATCTTCTCAAGTATTTTAATTAGTTGGATTTGTAGCCCAAAAGGGATTTCAAACTTTATATCATGTTTCAGGACCTCTCATCGTGAACCAATATAGTTGGGCCATCTGCATATCTACCAAGAGTACTATTGTCATTGCATCCCTTATTACTGTTGACTAATGTAGTGCCAACTCTTATACAGCGCAGTACACAGTGAGGATGTAGAGTTGGTATAACAGTGAAATTAAACCATATATGAAACCCTAGGAATGACAGACCTCCCAAACAAGCTTGTAATATGTAAGAGGAGAGGGGTTTATATGCAGTAGGTGAGGGAGATGAGCCTTTAGGTAAGGCTAGCGGGACCTGGAGAGGGTAGTCACAGGTTGCTCACCTCTGCTCTCAGGTTACTCCACGGTCTGTCAGTAAAACCTTTCTTACATTCTCTTCTCATATTGCTACTCATTACATTTTTTTACTCCTCTGCATTCACAAAAATGCTTTTTCCCCCCTGAGTGATTTGTTCAAAGGGGATGTAGAAATTAGGATGCCTCATTTCTTCTTTCAAATTTGATCTAAAGCAGCCTGAAAAAAAATAATACTGTGTGATCACAGAAGTGTCATACGGTTGGTATTGCACACATCAAAAATCAGCCACTGTGAAATCCCATTTTATTAGAAATTCTTCCAAGACAATCCTTGTGATGGCCGCCCAGTCCTAAAGTATAACTCGTGTTCCATAGAGAACCAATAATACTTTCTTTTATCTATTTTTGATGGATGTCATAAATATATATGTCAAACTATATAGAAAGCTTCAGAGGCCTATGTTTTGGATCAGTAAATTTAATTGGAGATAATGAGGTTTAGCAGAACAGCTGCAGATCTGTAACAGTCAGGTTGTAATATATCCATTTTGTGTGATTATTAAAGGGAAACGTAATCGTTTTGGCTTTTTTTCTATGTGTGAGTGTGAAATACACTATATTGCCAATAGTATTGGGACGCCTGTCTTTACACGCACATGAACTTTAATGGCTTCCCAGTCTTAGTCCGTAGAGTTCAGTATTGAGTTGGCCACCCTTTGCCGCTATAACAGCTTCAACTCTTGTGGGAAGGCGTCCACAAGGTTTAGGAGTGTGTCTATGGGAATGTTTGACCATTCTTCCAGAAGCGCATTTGTGATGTCAGGTACTGATGTTGGACGAGGAGGTTTGGCTCGAAGCTACCACTTCCTGGCTGAGTTGCTGTTGTTCCCAGTTGCTTCCACTTTGTTATAATACCACTAACAGGTGACCATGGAATATTTAGTAGCAAGAAAATTTCACGGATGGACTTATAGGTACCACGCTTGAATTCACTGAGCTCCTGAGAGCGACCCATTCTTTCACAAATGTTTGTAGAAGCGTCTGCATGCCTAGGTGCTTTATTTTATACATCTGTAGCCATGGAGGTGATTGGAACACCTGAATCCAATGATTTGGAGGGGTGTCCCAATACTTTTGGCAATATAGTATATACTGTATATATAAGGTTTATTTATTTTGACATCCAGAAATGTTTTTTTTGACCAAGGTAGGATTAAATTGATAAGTAATTTTAGTGAATACATTGACATGGTCATTTCATATAACTTCTATTACTCGCAAAATTCTCCCTTGGCTTCCTAGCTGGCAGTGTTTGATGACGGGGGACATTTCCACCTTGGTCTTCTGTAGCTCTACCCCCGGATGTAACTGCGTTGTTGGGCATTTTCCTCTGACAGTGAAGAACTTCCTATAAGAGCTTGATAGGATCATGTTGTGGTGATTGTGTCAGCCAGTGCATAAAGATTGTACTCCGGCTTGCAAACCATAGACGTATGATTTAAATTGATTTAAATTAAATTAAGTTGATCTGCTGCATGATACAAAGAGCAATCAAGCACTGACCACATGGGATGACATGACCAAACCAGAGTGGAACCCTTTTCGGGTTCATTATTCCTTTTACTGTCACCTTCCCAGCACCAAAGCAGATACATAAACCCACACTGGGGGCTCCCCCCCCCCCCCTAAAGCTGCATGTTTGGTTATGATTGAATTGGAAATGTTCAATAAATATAACGAGGTCTGTTTCTTTTTCTTTGGCACTGCAGGTTTGTGGATGGGGTCCAGTTTCTGCTATGGCCTGCAGGCACCCTGTAAAGAAACCGAAAAAACTAAATCGGGTAGAGAACGCAGACTGTGTCCTGTGCCTAGACTTGTGCTCTGTACCGGACAATAAAGACGGTACGTCATCCGAAACAAAAGCCACAATACACACTAACCATAAAGAGATGCCTGAAGCTGAACAGAGACTGGCCAGTACCATCCCTGTAGGTGAGGATCTGCCCTATGGGTTTACAGATCACTGCCCTTCTACTGCTATGGTTTCCACAACAGAAACACATTGTGATACAGTAAACCTAGTATCCCCTGGAGAACAAAGACAGAACAAGGACAAGAGTGCACAAAGAATCTCATCTCCGTTTACAAGCAAAGTCATTCCAATTTGTACAAACTGTTATAATGCAAATGAATTCCCGATCTCCAGCTCCCCTATGTTACTGCCACCTCTCAAAGTGGCTGCTGGAATCGGGCACTCCGAACACATGGCAAGAAGAAGGGATTTTCTCATGCAGCAGCTTGAAAAGCTTCCTTCAAAGGGGTTTGTAGAGGGCAGTCTGAACGGTCACCTCCTCACTAATACAGACCTGAGGGCAGAGAGGAGACTCCTTGAAGCATTAAGTCAGCTTCCTCAAGAGCAGCTAAAAGTGCCAGAACAATTGTCCTTCATCACGCCTTGTGTTCCAAAAACACCCATCAAGGAGTTTGACCGCTTCCAATGGTCCAGTGCCCCTATAGAGCAGAAGCTGAATGGAACCAATGGTCATCTGTCCATAAAGCAGAACATTAACCCATCTCCTATGGGCTTCCTCCACACCAGAACAATCCAGAACAAGTGCAATATGCACCAGGGAGTAAGACCTCTCAATGACGCTAGGTATAGAAGAGCAAAATCGGACACCACCTCAGTGCTCAGAAATACTAGATTACCTTCTCTGATCGTCACACGGGTGGACATACCACCAAGGATCAAAATGTGCTGATCCGTTGACTTATTTTCCCTTTTCAGCGATAAATGCAATTGGGTGCATATGGAACAACTGAATAAATATGGATGTTAAAGGGACAGATGTTTGGTTCCTACCTACCGCCAAAGCGGTTATTTGTATACAGGTTTTTACATATGCCCTTGCTGCAAAGCATTGTACTTGGCAAGGATAGAGCAGCAGTGGGATGGGGCAGTACTGGGGATCGTTTCTTTGCTGGAACCTTTGATAAAAGTTTACATTTCCCTTTCTCTAATATCAAACCTTCCCCTAGCTTCCAGGGAGGTGCTGGTCACACAGCGTTGTGACTCTCTGCTGGAATGCTCTCGCCCTAACACTGCTGTGGCAGTCTATGTATTTTTAGGATTAGTAATAGTACAGCTGAACATATAGTTACATGCCTCCAGCTAATGTGAGACTTTCAGTCATACAGCTCTCTTGTGATAAGAAAGACATCAGTCACTATTATTCTCTGGATTATTCTCTGGATTATTCTCTGAACTCTCAACACTGTGAAAGCAGACCTTAAGCTACATTAAAGGAGAACTATGGGGTTAGGGCTTTTGCCCATAGTTCTCCTGAGGGTAACAGGAGGACACAATATAGCGTCCTCCCTTCACCCTAAGCTCAGTATACCGCGAGCTACTGAGACGCCGCAGCCGGGACAGATCCCGACATTACTGTCAATCTACCCAGCTGCGAGATTGACAGCTGGCTCTGCCAGCTGTGCCCGCCCCCTCCCCCGTCCGTTCCGCCAGTCAGCACTGGAGGATCGGAGTGGGGGGGGGGGAGAATCCTTGCACGGCTCTCAGCACGGATAGATCGAGAAGTGAGCGAGCAATGGTATATGTTCCCTCACTTCCCGATCTATTGAGCTGGCCTGTGACAGTTTGACAGGTCGGCTAGAACTATGAGACTGAGTGATTTTCAGTAGCCTCATAGTTCTCCTTTAACATTCTTGCTGGGAAAAAAAATTGGGAAATTGTTACCTTTCCGCTGGAAAAGATCGCTCTGGTTTATCTCAACTACTGTTTACACAAGTACAAGCCAGGGGAGGACATAACTTTGATGCAGACTGCAGCTGCACGAGGGCCCTCTGGAATGTAGGAGCTGATTTCTACTAGCTATGGGTCAGATGGGTGATGGGACACTTCCCACTGTCACGTAGATTTGGAAATGCTCACATTTTCTCCAGTCTAGTCTTGGAGCTCAAAAGTATCAGTACTTGTACTCGTACTTGCACCGAGTACTGTACATGGTATCTGTGCAACCCTAATATAAAGGCATCACACCACCTTCTTCACCTGTGAGCGACCGCTCACATCCTACCCAGGGTTGTGCTCTATTCAGACCATACATGTACATTGATCCACGATTGATCTCTGTACAGTGAATTTGTCAAAGAAGTCATAATGCCTTGGAGGAGGAGGAGGAGGAGGAGGGTGGTGTGTGTGGCCAGTATTTTGTTGCTGGCATTAGGGGGGTCTTGGAGTTTCTTAACTCATCTCTGGTGTAGAGGATGGAAGGGCTCCTGCTCAATTTTTGGTCATGTTAGCAGCATTGAAGGGAGGGAACCAAGAGCAGTGTTTTCTTCCAATTATTCCAACGCCTCTATTATTCTTAATGCAGGCCAGCATGACTGAGGGCATTGCATTTGGTTAACCTTTGTCTCCTACAATGTCAGAAGCACGAAGATTTACATCAGTGCAAATCCACTTCATTGATAAATGTCATAAAGATGAGCGCTTTCGGGGCGGTGCAGGGTCCCCTTCATCAGTCAACTACCACCATTTTATTCTATAGGGTCTTGGCATTCAGAAAATATATAATGTTGGGGGGTTTTACGTCATTTTCAGGCCTAAAATGTGGAATATAACATGGGTGCAAAAATTGAAAAAAGGGCCTCAGTCATGAAGGGGTTAAGGTACTTGAATGCATTTTTAAGATCCAACTCCTGAGTTTAGTGTCACTTTAAGGCTAGGAACAAATAGTTTTATTTAATCTGACTTATAAACGCTTCTCATTTAGTAGCCATTAAAAGTTAGGCAAAGAGCTAAATACACAATACATATATAGGAGCTGTTATCTCTGCCAAAGGAGTTTTATATCTTTCCATGCAGTTCTGAGATTTAAACAGTTCTGCATCTGTCCATCCAGTTCTGCAGCACTGCGCAGCCGTTTCTAGCAGAGTAGATGAGCTGATTTTTCTTGGCTTCTGTTCACGGAGCAGGTGCAGAGCAGTTGCAGACCGGATCAAAACTGCGGCCAATGTATTCCAATGGTATTTTTTGCTCCAGTTCACATCGCAGCGTGCAGTTCCAGAGCAGGTGAAACAACTGCAGCAAGCCCTATTTTACCTGCTCAGGAACGCATCAAATACGCATGCAAATGCCTGGAACGCACTGAAAGCCCATGTTCAACTAAAAAAACCTAATATATATATATATATATTTTTTTTAACCAAAAACGACCCGGAACGCATCAAAAACGCGGCACAACCCGCTGCACTGCATGTGCAGAAACCTGAGCGGATCTGCTCTGCATTTGGTGTGAACAAGGCCTGAATGCCTTCATAAGAATTGTCTCTAAATTGTCACAGGCGCGCAGGAGGCCTCCTGGAGATAAGCTGAATAGCCCTGAAGTGCTTAGCTGACTTGAGGATATGAAGCGGAATTATCTTTGTGATACTTTAACTCTTTCACTGCCAACATTACGCTGTACATCGGTGTCAGTGAGCCCCTTTATACAGACTCCCGGTGGCTACTCCGTTTAGCTGTGTAAGGCCGATGGTCAGCTGTACGCTGGAAGCGATCCTGGCGGCTGAGGTGCTGCCATATCGCTTCCAGGGGCCACAGACAATCCTAGTAGAGAGCCGTGGCTCCTCTGGCAGCGGCTAGGTTAGAGATACAAAGCAGTGATGAAAGGATGTATGTCTTCTTCCTACAGTTAAAGTCCACCCAGACATTCCAAGCTGGCAATAGAACATAAATGTTAAAGGGTATCTATGGGCAAAAAAAATTAATCTGTATTTCTATACTGAATTTCCATACGTTCTATCCCTCTCCTGATAATCATATCCATCTAGAAGCTTGTAAACTTAGATGCCCATAGGATGTACTTTCTCGATGCACTGACACAATTTCACTCAGCCCTGTGTATATGCACTTCCTTGTGTCACAACTCACAGAGCCTGCCTTCTGGACTACAACTCAACATCTGAACAATGTAACATTAACATTGGTTGCTGGACGCAATGCATGATGGGATATGTAGTCTTGGGAAAATTGAGATAGTATTACATCAAGCAGCAGGGAAAGAGATGCAAAGCACACCGGGGATCCAGGAATTTGGTGAAAGTGATGGGTAGACAGAAGGCCGCACTCACTACATAAAAAGGGATTTTCTCAAGTAAGCTTTCATTGTATTATCAAAAGCAACTGTAGTATGTATTCCTATTCCAATGCTGATGTTATAACAAGATCACATATGCTGGACCTTACAACTTCATTCATTCTCTTACCCATTGTAGACATACATTGATTTCTAAACTAAGTAATGTAAACCCTAATAATGAACTGCTCCTATTGGTCTGTTACTATTGAATTTTGTCATCTGTTTAATCAGTGTAATAAATACTTGTTAATCCTGCCAGAAATCCAGTGCTGGCTTGTGCACTCTTTAGTCTTATTACAAAAATTGTTATCTTAAGGCAACAATGCTGCTCCTCCACAGGTACAATACAGTAAGTGAGCTTTGTCACCCTAGGACAGGAAGTGAGGTACTGTTAGGCTACATTCACAAGGGGCTTCATTCTGCGACAGATGTACAGATCCATACAGATGTGGGCGCTGTGCCTGTTCATGTTATAAGAGAACTATAGACAAACTTGTTTTTGCTTTAGTTATCATTTGGGTCACAGGAGCACATTTACCAATATACTCCTGTGACCCAAAGTCAGCATGTAGGGAGCTGCTGCCCACTATATGCTGACAGGGCAGAGCCGCACTGCAGTTGGGAAGATCCACCCGCTGCCTGATTGACAGATGGCTCTGCCTCTCTAGAGTCAGCTGGGCCCGCCCCCTACTATTTCTGTCCCTCCAATAAGCCCTGGAGGAACAGAGAGAGGGGAGGGATCCCTGCAGGGAACGGTGACTGACAGTCACCGCTCTCTGGAGGGAGAAGCCGTGAGCTGAGTGATCAGCGGTCTGTAATCGCTCAGTCCTCAAACTATAGAGCCGGCATGTGACCGCCGCAGCGTCCATAGGTAACTTTCCATCCTCCACTCTGCATGCTGAATAAGTGGGAACAATCTGTTATCAAACTAATTTGCATCCTTTGAATGGGATAAAAAAAAAGGTATAAATCAGCATGTGCCTGATAAAACCATCTGCACCGCGCAAAGAAACTGACAGCTACACCCATTATTAATCAGTCACCAAGGCTTTCAGATGGGAATCATCCTGCTGCTTCCTCACATGCCACACAGCAGGCTTAATGCCAGATGGACCTCTTCCATTATACGGTGCGCTGTAGCTGCCAGTTTAGTTTGATTGTAATAAAGTTGCTGATATAACCATCTCCCTAATAGTTTCTAGCGTAGAGAATTCATATAATGCATTAAAGCCTTGGTTCTCAACTGGTGGGTCGTGACCCCATGTTCAGTGGGTCGCCGCATGCCTTCCACTTTTCTAGGTGAGAGACTACTCAGCCTCCCCATAGTGCAGCACTGTCAGTCCTCGTGCCAAGCAGCCATTTAAAATATGATGCCCGGTGCCGAGTGTCAGCTTGAGGTGGGGTGGGCTAGGGGTAGGGCTGCGAGGGAGCTCCATCCATACATGCATTGCTTACAGCTCCCTCACATGTCCTGTAGAGGTGCCCGGACTGGACTGACATCACATTCTGGTTCCCGGCACCTCTACAGGGCACGCAAGGGAGCTGTGCAAGCAATGTATATGGCTGGAGCTACGTCACAGCTCAACAACCCACACTGGACTCCAGGCTGAGGATCCAGGCTGTTGCGTTGCCATTCACTTTAATGGTAGGCCAAATGCACCTCCCACCGACAGTTTGTACATCCGCACCAGAACGCACGGTACCCTAATGCCGTGCGTTCCATTGCAGTGCAACTTGGGCCGCAACTTAATAACCAAGGACAAATACAGGTCCCGAGGTTACACAGATTGAGAGCCACTGCGTTAAAAAGGTATTGGCCTTAAAAACAACCAAAGATGCAAACACTCAAGTGCAAACCTAGCCTTTGAGTTATCAGACTGCAGGACACTAACTTTGAAGCAAGTCGCATTATAAGATTCTGCAACCGAGGGCTGATCTGTGTCAGACATTTGTGAAAACAGCCAAGAACACTACAGGCAGCAGCATTTACATAGTTGTGTCATTGCTGTGGCTACATCTTACTGCAGTAAATAGACACTGACCCTGGATGAAGCCTGAACAAAAATGGCACCAGCCTTTGGGAGAGAAACACAGATGAAAGCACTGCAAGGGAGAGTACTGTGATCCCTGAGAAAGGTACATTTACATACTGTATTACTTTGCATGCTGCACAATGTGAAAATGTATATCTGATATTAGGTGCAGTTTAAGTACACTTTAGCCTCGTTTAGACATGGTGGATCATTTTTTTACAAGGTGGTAGATCAGTGGCTGTCCAGCGTTCAGGAAACGATACTGCTGCCTTACATGTTTTGTTTTTTTCCCTTACTCAATTTTTCATTGAACTACTGGATCGGTGTGGTCCCATTCACCTCTATGGTTGCATTTGGCAGACAGCAGCGCCTGCCAAGCACGACATGCTGTATAATTTTTGCCACATCGCAGGCACGGCAATGTATATAGCACCGTCCAGCCACAATGCCAACATGGAAAGCAGTGCAAGCTGAGATGAACACAGCCGGGACTTCATTCTACAAAAGCTGTGTGGTGCACATAACCTTTGTACCTCCGTCTGTACGCATGTGTGTTTATACAAGTCTGGCATATACCCACATGCAGCCATTGACTTCTATGGGAGGCTGTACACAGCACGCGTGGCTACCTGGCAGCAGATATACCCTGGAATTTAAGTTGCACTCCCAGGAGGTGGCTGTATGCAAAAGCCCAATTCATATATAGTCAATGATTTAGCTCCTGACACTAATTAGTCGGTACATTTTATTGAATTAACTGATCAAATCTAAACCCGTGTGTGGCTTGCTTTAGATGATAATACGAAATCACCTGCACTCCGTACAGACCTTGGATGAAAGGTTGGTGCTTGAAGTGACAACACGGATGCCACCGTGTCAGATACAGTCCATAATAGAAGTCACCAGCACTTGATCTGTGCAAGAAGTAAAAGCACTTGCTATTAAATGGTCACATGCGTCATACAGCCAACATTTCGGGGCCACGCTGTCTCCCTTCTTTTGGGCGACAGTGACCTAGTGCCACTATGTCGCCCAGAAGAAGGGAGCCTGCGTGGCCCCGAAACGTTGGCTGTACGACGCATGTGACAATTTAATAAAAAGTGCTTTACTTCTTGCACAGATCAAGTGCTGGTGACTTCTATTATGGCTTGCTTTAGGTGGACTGACAAGAAAAGGAACAGTATCTGTGCTTTCTATAGCATCCATTCGAATGTCCCCTTTGTGGCAGATCTGCTGTAATATGCCGGTTGGAGCAATAGATACTTCCCGGTCATCTTTCCTCCGTACACAAAAAGCTGTTTGTATGTGTGTAGATATATCAGATTTTAGCACTGAACCACAAGAAATGTACAGCCAGCCAGATGTTCTTTATCTTCACAGTATAAATAATTTACAATGAAAACCGAATAAATAAAGTGCTTTTCTATGTGTTTGCGCCAATATACAAAATAGACCAAACGTCTACAATTGGTGTAAAATGTCATGCAATTCAAAATCACTTTAAATAAAACCTCATTTAAACTACGCCATGCTTAGGACTTGCCGAGACGTTCTATAAAGACTGTGAAGGAAAGAAAATCGTGAGGTTTGTTTTTGCAGCATACATTAAGTCATGCAGGGACGAACCAATAAATAGAAAGCAAGGGGGTTGTTTTGAAGCTCATTCACTGCTATCGGCATGGTTGCGTTTGAAGGCGTGCGCCGTCAGTTCTCGGATTTGTCAGAAAACAAATCGAAGCGCTCCTCGCAAGTCTGGGTTTCCACTGAGCTGAACTGAGACTCCATTGTATTCCATGCCAGATCCGCCAGGAGAAAGTCATCCATAGCAGTCTGGGTTTCGTTGCTTGTAAGAAATAAACTTCCAAGAGTCTCAAAGCAGCTGTCAGTGGTTTGTGTCTGGGCGCTGTTCTGCTGTACATGACCCTCCAGAGCAGCGCACAGCGCATTTTTACTGGTCGACGCTCCATCTGTGTGGCTTTCCGCATCAGAAGAGTCTGTGCTTATCGAAAAGCTAGACTGTTTCAAGAGGCTGCCCAGACGCAAGGGAGAATTGCGGTCCAGAAAGAGATTCAAGTCCGTCTGGGTTTGAGTATCAAACATCTCCATCACCAGGAGATTGGAGCTGCCTTTGTTGGAAAACGATTGGGTCGAGTCATTGGAGAATAAAAAGTCCGTTTGCGTTTCAATATCCAAATATTCGGAATTCAGATTGCTCAGCATGCTCTCTTCGGTTTGGGTCTGGATATTGGATGCGGAAAAGAACTCGTCTATGTCGAAATCGATGCCAGTGTTGGTGTTACAGTTAGACGATAAATGGGATTCTCCAGCTGAGAGGAGATTGCGATTATCCAAAGGCTGGCTGGACATATTGTCAGAAAGCATTTTTTCGAGGTCGCTCAACAACTCCATAGTTTGCGTTTGGTTATCGGTCATGTTTTGAGATGGAAAGGTCCCGTTTTGTGTGCTGAAATTAATGAAGGAGGGAGCTTTCATTTCCTCTACCCTCATGTCCTTCATAGTGTCTGTATTGAGTAGATTTTGCCCCAAGGTTCCTGGGATGTAAGTAATGCCTGGTTGACTTGTCTGCGTAGACACAGTATAAAAGGAATTAGTGTTACTGAAGAGATTATCACAATTGACGGCCTGGTCCACTAACAGAGGGTTCTCCCTCGGCAGAGAAGCACTGCTCGTCTGGGTCTCCCGAGAAATCCCACAACTGAGACAAGGATTGACGGAGACCTCCGACGAAGATTTTGGTGGCAATGAAGAGCAGTCCTGCAGTGTTTGAGTCTCCACACTGATGGGCAAAGACATTTGGGCAGTAAAGGACAAGTCTGTTTGGGCAGAAGATGAAACGCTAGAGTCGCTGGTAGTCCAAGAGGTGCCTGATAAAATGCTAGGGGTAAAATAAGATAAGTCGGTCTGAACATCAGATGTGATTTTGCCTTTAGGTGCTCCACCATGGAAATGCGAGTCGGTGGGCGATAGTTTCTCCATACTAACTTGTACATACGAATTAGCAGCTCCTAGACAACTAGTGTGAGAGAGGTTACTGGATAACGTAGTCTCGGTACCCAGATTTTGTAGGACTGTTCCATTATAATGAGGTATGAATTGCAATGTACTTATGACTGGTCCACGACTATTAACTGCTACCATTACAGGCTTCATAGGACAGTCACTGGCTGAAACTAGGACAGGTAGGTGAGCCAGCTGCATGACTGGTAATTTAACTACGGTCAACTTAGGCTTTGGTAACAAGAGTTTTTGGACTTGATTTGGCTGTAGATGAGTGTCCCTGGTAACATAGGAAGCAATGCAAGATTCACTTGCGGGTAATGCCTTCAACTCTGCCATCTGCTGGTCAGAAGTCGTAACTGCTTCGGGCTGATAGTTTCTGACAATACAGTCCTCATTCACAGTTTTTTGGTTCTGTTTTAATGCATCCAGTTTTCTTTTCTTTACAGGAGGGTCTCTGCAAGAAAACAAGACATCATGTGTTAGCCTTCATGGAAAAGACAAGGACTAAAATATTTTAAAACTAAAGGGTCAGTCCTTCCAAAAAATGATGCGTTGAATAGACGGTGGCAGGACCATTCACCCACTAGCTCATCTCTCATAGACTGGGGAAAAAGATTTCTGCACCTGGATTCCCAGCTTAGCACACCTGCCATGGCCATTACAAGGGCTTCCTGGCCTCCAAATTGAATTAGCTTGAGAAATAGCCAGAAGGGAATTTAACCTGAACCTATCCATTACTCAAGATCAAAGTGCTGCAACATGGTGCCCAATACTGCTCTTGTAAAGGAAATCCTTCTCTGTACACTTTCTGAAATTACATTTACTTTGCTATAGAGGTCTCATATTTTTGACTTAAGGCATTGCCCCCATGCACCAGCTCCCTGTACTTGCTTGCAGTCAAGGCGTTTTTATTAGGCAGTAGACTGCCAGGAAGAAGAGACTTGGCCCAAGCTGACAAGCGATCTCAGATGGCACGGAGGAAGGTTTTCTGGGCACCACCTTTGGTTTTATATAGGCATAGTATTGGAATCGTTCACTTTAAACTACAATGTTGTGCAATAAAATGGAGGCCAACTCCACTATGAACAGATTCCTATCTTGTGTGTACACCCTTGTGCTGAAAAACCCACCCACTGGTTTGCAGCCAGGTTGGTGGGTCAAACATAGGGGAATAAGGAGCAAGAGAGGAAAGAGAAAGCCAGGGAAGGGGATGGGAACACCAAAAAAAAAAAGAAGAGGAATGGAAGGGGGCATTATGTGGCTGACTGAGAAGTTCTAGTGAAACTACAACCAATAGTCTTGAACTGATCCTATAGCAGTTTAATTTCTACACACTTTTGTTCGTGATCTGTGAAATCGGGAGATAACTCACTTCACTGATTGTAGCATCCTATCTTAGCACATTATCAGGAAGTGGGTCTTCCCTCCACATATGCAGTGACCCGAATATCACATTCACAGCTATAATGGAAACTGGGAAACAGCTTTGCCAGCACACAAACTTGCAAGCTCCTTGATGCAAACCAAGAAGGAAGGGCAATGCCACAGCTACAATAAACTAGTTCACTTGGAGTGCATTTGGCAGAAGCAGCTTCTGCAGTTACCATGGCAGCCAGATACAGCAGCGGATGCCACTGCTAGGAGACGCAGCATCGGCCCCGCAGAAGTCTTCATTGTGGCATACCAGTGCTGTCAAGAACGGGGCGAGTTATGTGCAGGCACAGTAGAGACCCTGGATTTATATCCACCATCATTTGACATTTTAAAACCTTTTTCACCTGTGTTCAATGGGGACCTCGTGGCCCATTCTATGAGTGTGCGATAAGAGGGCAGTTCTGCTGGTGTAAGGACATCCACAGGTGCACTTAAAAGTCTTCCCACAGTAGCCAATGTGCCGCTTTAAGTCCCATTCTGTGCCATACGAGCTTCCACATTTATCACATTTGTGCTTCTTCTCTGCATGCATTTTCATAAAGTGCTGAAATGCAAAAAAAGGCTTCTATTAAAACAGCAGAAGAAACACTTGCTTAGAACTATATATAAGCTATTCCATGTAGTATCAGGTCTCCTGCTGCAGGGATTAAAGAAAAACTAGTTCTGCAGAAGCAGAGGAATGCAATAGGAACAAATGACATGCGAGTTGCCTGTAGCACTCACTATCTGTGGGGCCCATAAATACCTCCAACAAAAGGGGGAAATTACACGCAGAGGCCTGAGACCTAAGTACACCGAAGATTAATTTCCCTTTATCAAAATCAAATAGGTTACACTTAAAGTGTACGTATAGACAGTTATTTTTTTGTGGTTTTGAACATAATAGGGATTAGAACCCCTGTCAATTTGTTTCCATTAGGGTCTGTTTTAATATTTAGTTCTATGTCAGTGCTGCTGATATCCGGCAGCCACTTCCTGTCTACCTGTGCTCCCGCAATAGCTGCATGGCATTTCTCAGGCAGGTTCCATGATGGAGCTAACAATGGACCATGCCTGAGTAATGCGTGTTAAAACAGCTCCTTGTAGTCTCCATCAGAAGTCTCCAACAACATGGGAGCACGGCTGGGAGGTAGGGATAGAGCACGTCACTATATCACAGGAAGTGCCTGAAAAATGTTACCAAGTATATTTAAAAAGGTGCATCTATAGCTAAAACGTTTTTCTTTAGTTTTGGAAAGAAAGGGGAAAGATTAGAACTTCTGTCAGGTTTTACTGCTATCGCTGGAGAGATTAATTCACTTCCTGTCTTGAAAAATGGTTGTCTCCAGGACAGGAAGTGAGGGGATCTCTCTAACAGCAACAAAGACAGTAGTATTTTTTTATGTATGCTAGAACCCCCATCAACTTTTTATTGCCCTTTGTATCCCTGGTGCACATTTTCCTTCACTTCCTTTCTATTAAAAGGTTGTCCTCAGAAGAGGAAATAAGGGAACATTTTCCTAAAGAAGCCTCAAATAGTTAAACCTGACAGGGGTTCTAATCCTTCCTCTATCTATCCACAAATAATAGTTCAGATTTTCGGGTTGCTACGCTCGCTTACAGGGTCTCTATGGAACCCCAGAGTAGCCACCCGAAAATTGAAAGTTTGTTTCAGCAATCCTTCAACTTGATCTTGAGCTGCATTGATGGGACCGTGAAGAAAAAAAAAAAAAGGTAGTATGGCTACAAGATTATATGTTTAGCGTCTAGGATTTAATATCCCTTTAAAGTAAATAGAAACTTAATCTCTAAAACCTCAATCTTTAACATGTACCTTTCATTTCAAAAGTCATTGTTAATCTTTTAAATCTGCAGCTTTCATTTCTTTCCATTCAAACCCATTTCTGGTCTTACTGCCAGCTAATCTAGCATTCTACTTCACCCCATTCACAATTCCAATTCATAAAAAAATCTCTATCTCCCTGGATTCCAGGAACCAGGTAGACAACGCTCCTTAGAAATCCAAAATCACAGCAGGTACCCAACTTTTGAGGTCTGCGCTAGCTGCGGTCAATAGAGATGGCTCCTAAAAAAAGAATAATCCTGCTGGCTTCTGGATTGGACAGACTGGCTCCTGAGCTCCATATTAACCTGTCCACCCCTGCCTTACACAGTGGTCATTTTTGTACTTTCGTTTGAAAACATATTTTTAGCTAGGTCCGGTCCACACCACAAAGTCTGCATTCCAGGGCGGTCGGCCGGGCTGGAGGGGGTGTTCATCTGAATTTGTTACAGTTATCTAAAACATTTTAAAGTAGAATATAAAAGGCTCATACCTGCTTAACGCGAGAAAACTGTGAGAAGGGTCTATTCATTCCCCTGGGGCAGCCCTCAACCGGACAACAGTAGAGCTTCTGTGATGCTTTTAAGTCTTTCCGTAGTGTGGGATTGGATATTCCTTCCTAGAAAAGAAAAAAAAAAGGGACGCCAATTAGATTTAAGATTAGTGTCACAAGTGATACACAGCAGTACATAAATACAAAAGGTTATTTAATAATGTTACATATTTAAACAGAAAAGCGGACTGCCATAGCAGTTTATTCTATTTAACTTAAATGACCAGAAACTGGCAGTTCTCTATATGCTCTAAAGAGCCAGAACAATACTGGTTCTTCCCATGACCACCAAGAACAGAATATTCAGTGCCAACTTGGACAATTCTACTCCCGAGTGCCGCCTGGCCCTTCTTACCCATGTGCTGCTGCAGATCAGTACACAAAGTTAAGTGTATGTGGTCATAGCGGATAGGGCATGTCCCCGTGATGATTTAATTTTCATTTTGGCAATCTCGTGCCTTGGGACAATGGATAATGGCTTGTATATTAGCTTATGAAGCAATACAAGTAGATCTGGCATCAGCGCAGTCAATGAGTTAAGCTGGCCATAAACTAGCAGATATCTTTTTAGCTTCAGTATCTTGCTAGTCGGCCCCGCGGGCTCTCAAAACACCTGAACAATGCCTGCATCCAATCAGATTGTTTAGGTATTTTGGCAGCCAGCGGGGCCGACTAGCAAGATACTGAAGCTTGGCCCAGTGGGAGATTCCTCCATCCACACAGTTTAGCGTAGATGGAGGAATCTGTTGCACTTTTTCCATCTGACCATAGAAAATCTGCAGATCATCTATAGGTGTATGGCCAGCTTTAGTCTCAAGCACATGCTCCAAAGGCAAATGGACCCAAAGGAAATTTGAATACAGACAATGGAATTCACTGATGAGAAGGCAAAACAGATGGCTGCTGACAATCGGCTGCAACAACGCAGTCACATTACGGAAATAAAATTGAAAAAGCTCCATACATACAAGCTGTGAAAAAACGGTTATGCAATTCTCATTTGTGCATGCATTCCTCCTATTTAAAAAACACAAAAATGAGGATTAAAGGCTTATTTCAGTTTTCAATTAATTTTTGTACTGGAACCTACCGAGCATTGCAACCGTGTTTCGTGGATGGTGAGTGCAATACACTGGCTCCTGCAGACTACTTCCACAGCCCCAGGTCTGTAGCGAGGTGCAGACCTTCTGCTATGAAACTGGTGGAAGTTATCAATGGGCTACAAGTGTTATGATGTCACCACAGTTATGATGTCACCACGCACTACAAGTTCCACCACCGTGATGGCACGCAGAAGACCTTTCATTCACAGATCCTGTTAATGCATGATGTGGCTGTGCGGGTGAAGCCATGAAAAGCTGAGCCGAATCAAACTAAAACAGGTAAGTAGGGGGGTGATCGAATGGTGGGAGGTTATGGAATGGAACCAAGCTCCACCCTACATGATATGAAAGTTAAACTTCGCCTTTAAACATTGTATGTATATGTAATACCATTTTTTGTACGATAGAGATACAAAGCACAGCATTTTTACCTGCTCCTCCCTTCTATTTAGTAAACTACAAAGTGCTGACTGATGCTGCCGCATGGCTCACAATACCAAGTCAGTCCGTTTTTCATTAGGGCTTCCATGCAGTGAAAGTTTTTGTTGTAATTAAGTAATTTCCAGTCTTTATAAATCTACAATCTATAAATTAGAATACCCCCTGCTAACTCTGCCACGGAGGTTCTTCTTTAGGCACTTCCTGTTATAAGCTGACAAATCCGCTCTTATCTCCCAAGTACTCTCCTGCGTTGTCACCATGGCGCGCGTGCCTCTGTAGACTCCAGGTCAGTGCTTATTACGCAGGCATGTTCTATTATTGTCTCCATCAGGAAGCCTGTACCGAGTAAGTAACGCTTCCGGTGCAAATAAATGTAGACAGGAAGAGGCTGGAGGAGGTCAGTAGCCAGATGCAAAAAAGGAGGAAAAAGAAAGCAATGGCAATTGTTTATGATACACCAGGGGTGAGCAATTCATTTTCTCAAGGGGCCGCTTTAGAAACTGGGACTGTTGGAGGGCCGAAACAAGAGGCTGGACTTAATTTTGCTCAATATTCATTTTATTGCTTTATAAAAATAAATATGATTTTGACGAGCTGCTACTGGTATGAAGGTTACAATCAGGCTTGTTTACTGCTAATGTAGCAGTAAACAAATATTAAAAACTCCAATCATTTTATTTTTAGCATTAGATACTTTTAAATGTTAGAAAAACAAGGCACGCACATATGTAAATGGATGAAAACAATCTTATGGGGGCAACTGATAATTAGTTTTCCCCATCAGAGTGCCCCCTTACATTGGTTATTGCCATCAGAGTGCCCCAAAATTTTTGTAATTAATGCAAGAGGGCACTCCGACGAAGACAACTAATAATTAGTTGTCCACATCAGCATGTCCCCTTAAATCGATTGTCCCCATCAAGGTGCCCCTTATTTTTATAGTTAATGTAAGGGGACAACCAATGTAAGAGGGCACCCTGAAGGGGACAACCAATGTAAGAGGGCACCCTGACGGGGACAACCAATGTAAGAGGGCACCCTGACGGGGACAACCAATGTAAGAGGGCACCCTGACGGGGACAACCTATGTAAGAGGGCACCCTGATGGGGACAACCTATGTAAGAGGGCACCCTGATGGGGACAACCTATGTAAGAGGGCACCCTGATGGGGACAACCTATGTAAGAGGGCACCCTGATGGGGACAACCTATGTAAGAGGACACCCTGATGGGGACAACTAATCGTTCCCACTAGAGTACCCCTTTATGTTATGGTTCCCACATACTGGATTTTCCCACTTTATCGTTAGGCCAGAGGTGGGAGCCGGGAGGTCGAGCAGGCTGCAGCAGAGGACAGAAGAAGATACTCTTACTTCCTCCTGTAATGCTGGGGGCGGGGAATACATTTGAGATCACTAGTTGCTAGGACCGCCGGGGAGTCCTAGCAACCAAGGACTGAAGAGTTATGGCTTACAGTGGACGCACTGGCCTTGGAGGCTGGTGCATCCACCGTCAGCCAGCCATAACTGAGCGAAGATCTGCAATCGTGGTCCAAACAGAACTCGGAAGGGGATATGCTGTCTGACACACCCAGAAGTGTCAAACAGCAGTGGTATTGATACCCTTGCAATACAGAGAATAGCCTTGATCCATGCCAATAAGGGAAGTATTCAATATGCTCTTTTACAAGGGTCTGCTGACTGCATTTTGTAACCCTAGCGACAGGGTCACTTTAAGGTGTAAGGAATTATTTGATTAAGGGACGTAACTGCGTCAGCTCTGCGGCAAAATGTTTGCTGTGGTTAGAATCAGCAACAATGACACGACAGTGCTTTCATGAACAGTTGCATTCAAGCAATAATGTGCACGTCAAAGCACGCTAGAAGATGAAAGGCAAGCACAGAATGCATTCTACTCAGCTGAGCTCTCCAAACATAACAGGCAGCCATTATTTGCTGGAAGAGGAATGAGTATCACAGCTACACTGTTCACCCAGTGCAGTCCTAACACCACACAAAACATCACATTACCTCCAAGAGCTGTTATAGGCAGCAGGAAAATAACATTTTATTCCAACCAAAGTTGTTTTTTTATTGTTTCTTTTGTTTTGGAAGGAGTAATAACCTCCATAACATGTGTTTGTTCTTTAATTAGTTTGGGGCATTATTCCTTTCGCCAACACCAATTTGTGCCACTATGCCCCCCCTCCCCTTCCCCACCAGCCATGGGGCACCATTACTCCCCACTGACGCCAGCCATGGGGCACCATTCCTATCCACTGACGCCAGCCATGGGGCACCATTCCTCCCCACTGACGCCAGCCATGGAGCACCTTTCCTCCCCACTGACGCCAGCCATGGGGCACCATTCCCCCCCACTGACGCCAGCCATGGGGCACCATTCCCCCCCACGGACGCCAGCCATGGGGCACCATTCCTCCCCACTCACACCAGCCATGGGGCACCATTCCTCCCCACTGACACCAGCCATGGGGCACCATTCCTCCCCACTGACACCAGCCATGGGGCACCATTCCTCCCCACTGACACCAACCATGGGGCACCATTCCTCCCCACTCCTGCTCAGAAAGACCGAGGTCTGGTAACTCCTGAAGGTAATATCTCCTTCTCTACCAAGTGTGACTGCAACATCCAGGATTAGTTGGTAGGTTTTTTTATGTCCTTTATTGCAAGGTGCTGTTTAAGTATAAAGCATGTATTACAATTTGCAAGGTAGCCTTATTGCTCAATTTTTTAAATGTAGGAAATTCAGCATCACTGCTACTCTTCCCAGGGTTGGGCATCCTACAAAGATCAGTACAAAGGCATGCTTTGGAATCCTCAAACAGGTGACAAAGAACCCTAGGTTAACAACCATGGATCTGCAGGTATTCCCTGAGTTTTGTAATCTCAGTGTTAGTCTATCATAGGAAATACCTCGAGGAAGGGTAATATTCATAGGCGGGTTCCTCAAATTAAACAATATCAAAAATACATGGAATACACATTACACAACACTACTGGAACAATGCTCATGAAACAACGGGTGAAAGAGAAGTGTCTGCTATCAGAAAAGAAGCTTTTATGGTTTGTTGGAAAAAAGTGCACTTTGAGAAGACCCAATCTTTAACTGCTCTGTTAAAAAAGGGAACCAAGAACGTTTTGCAAATGCACCACTGTAACTCTCAGCCATGAATTATGGCATGTCACAAACTCAACCAAACATGGACAGACATCCATGATCTAGAGCAGCGGTTCTCAACCTGTGGGTCGCATGACGATTTGCCAAGGGTCGCCTAAAGACATCCCAAATCTCCCGGACGCTCCGGGAGTCTCCCGCTATTAGATAGCGGCTTCCGGCCGCCCGGGGGAGAAACATTTTCCAGAAAGGACCAGAGCAGAGTAAACCGTTCCCTGTTCTGGTTTTTATTTTTCTGACATCGGAGCCGCCGGCCGCCATCAGTCAGAAAAAAAAAAACAGCATAGGAATGCATAGCTAAATTCCTATCGGCTATTTCACTTT